TTTTTTTTGGTACCAGGGATTGAACTCCAGTAATTGCACTTGCAAGGCAGGTGGTGGAACCACTGAACTAAATCCCCGGCCTCTCTCCGTGTATTTCTATCAGCCCACATAGCACCAGACTGGTTCCTGGGTATTTCCTGGCAAAGTCAAGCCTGGAAAGAGGGCTGAGTGGAGCCAGAGGAAAGGCAGGCTGCGTGTCCCTGCAGCGGACTGGATCACAGAGGTGTCGTCGGTCAGTACATGTGGCAAAATGATCTACAGGGGTGAAGAAGAAGGTAGAGCCGGTGAGGTGGCAGAAAACTCTGGTGAGTTCTAGCTGTCAGCTCTGGCCAGACAAGGAGCAGGGAAAGAAGAGATGGAACGAGATGAAGCACTGCTTAGCTCCGAGGATGCAGCTCTGGAGCCGTCATGGCCGGGGGTCCCGGGGGCTGTCCACACGGCCTGCCTCCCAAGCTCAAGGTCCTGAGTTCAATCCCAGGTTCCCCCCAAAAGATAACCCATGGAGAATATCCACATATCTTAAAAATGCATTTACAGTAAAAGACATACTACCATTAGTCCTCTTCAAAACACTCCCCGACCTTGAGCACACTCCCCATCCTTCCCGCCACTTTCGGAAGCAGTCTGGCGTCCTCTTTCCTGAGCGTCTTCAGTTGTGCCGTCATGGCTGCCTTAATCACATGAATCGATTCAAAATGTTCATTTTTTTATGACCACCCCCCCCCACAATTTTCTCTTTTTTTGGGACCGGGAATCAAACCCGGGGCGCTTGCCAGGCAAGTGCTGTGCCACTGAGCTACATCCCCGGTTTCTCACGGCCATTTTGACTCTGGGGAAGAGCCAGAAGCTGCACAGTGCCAGATCTGGTGACGAAAGTGGATATGGCCACACTGCAATGCTTTTACAAGCCTGCCTTTCCCCTGGATGCCATTTGGCAGCCACATTCACCATATTTCTGATCACACCTTGTAAAGATACCCAAGAAAGGGGACTTCCAGAACTGCTTCAGAAAGGGGCGGGAAGGATGGGATAAGTGGGGAGAAGGGGGAATTGTTTTGAGTTATGGTAACGTTGTCTTTTATCGAAATAAACATTTTAAAAATGTAAACATTTTTCTGTGCGTTATCCCTTGTAAATGCCCTCTGGCCTCTGGGTCACGGTAGAAAGTTCCATCTGCCTGGCTGTCCTTCACAGGCCACCCCCAGATGCAGCATGATGCAGGTCAGAGGCCTTCCTGCCCAGGCCTAGGATCTCGATGCCTTGCCCATGCACGGATCCCAGCTGCCGTGGTCCCTGTCTTAGTTACTTTCTCTTGTTGCTGAGACAGAATACCTGACACCCAATGTTAAAGGAGAAAAGATTTATACAACGCAGTTTGTAGAGGTTTCAGTCCATAATCCACTGGCTCCACGGCAGGGTGGAGTGGTGGACAGGCATCACAGAGGAGAGACAGTTCACAGAAGGGAGAAGGCGGCAAAAGCAACAAGGACCTTAACAGCATCTTTCTGCCCCTTTAATCTTACCTGGGCTACTTAGGGTGGGCAGCACTCACACTCTCAATCCTAGTGCCCTTGAGTCTAGCACTGTGCCACACACTCTAGAGCCAGCCACCTCTGGAAAAGCCAGACTGCATGGGGCTTTTGGGGGAAACTGCTAGACACAAGCCAGACACTCTGCCCCTGGCCCCCCAGACTCATGCACATCCCTTCATGCAAAAGGCATTCAGTCCATCTCCCAAGAGTGGCCAAAGTCCTAACAGTTTCAGCACTGCTGAAACATCCAAGTCCCAAGTCTCTGCTGAGATTCAAGGCAAACTCAGCTGCAAACCCCTATGCAAAATAAAAGAAAGCAAAACACCTCCAACCTTCAATGGCACAAGATAGACATTCCCATTCCAAAGGGTCCAGACAGGGGGATGGCAAGGAATGGGAACAAAGCAAGACCGAAAAGCAGCAGGGCAAACGCTGAATCCCACAGTTCCATGTCCAGCATCCCTGGCAAACTGTGACAAGTTGTGAGCTCCAAAGGGCTTGGGTGGCTCCGCCCTACAGCACTTCCAGAGGTCGTAGGTCCCCAGGCTTCTCTCTTGGGCCGGCTCTGCTCCCTCCTTGAAGCTTTCCTCAGACGTCCACACTCCTGGCTTCTCCAAACTTCTGGGGTCTCCACTGCACCTTTGGCTTCACACTCACAGCTGCACACACAGCTCTCAGGGGCACTGCCTGGCCTCCTGGGACTTCTGAAATCTGGGCAGAAGCCTTCCTGACCCCACAACTCTTCCATTCTGCATGTTCTATGTGTTGGCTGGGGATTTAGCTCAGTGGTTCTGCCACCTGCCTCGCAAGTGCAAGGTCCTGAGTCCGATCCCCGGTACAAAAAAAAAAAAAAAAACCAAACCAGTGCCATGTGGATGCTGCCAAGGTCCGCTCGCTGCCAGCTGGGGCCATAGCCAGGCTACCTTCTCTCTCGGCTGTAGGGGTCCAGTGCTTATGAACCCAATCCTGAGGAACAACTTCCCCAGGCTGCCATTATTCTGGAACACGGTGCTCTGGGCTCTCTTCTCAAAGCAAAGTCTTTCACTTTTGAGGCTACAAAGGGTGGCATCCTGCTGCTTCTGGTGATGCCCTCAGGCCACCTTTTCTATTTTCCTGTTTCTTCTCATCAATCAAGATCTTCTCTGCCTGGCTGGAGATTTAGCTCAGTGGTTCTGCCGCCTGCCTCACAAGCGCAAGGTTCCAAGTTCAATCCCCAGTACCAAAGATCTCCTCTGCTAGATCTATTCAGTCCATGGCTTTACTGGAGCTTCCTCTCTGGCCAAACCCACAATGCTTTAAATCATTCTGTTAGGCTCTTTGCTCTCGATTCTCACAAAAACCTGGCTAAAACCCTCAAGAGTAGCCATGCCACTGCCTTAACATTAGACAGCCTTGAAATTTCTTCCTCCAGACTAATTAGTCTGTTGCCTTTAATCTCAGTCTCAGGAAATCTCTTGACATGAGCAGAATGCAGACAAACTTTCTGCTAAGGCATAACACGCATCACCCGGAGTGCAATGACCGCTGCAGCCCTTCTTCCCAGCAGAGACCTCCCGAGCCTGGTCTTTACCAGCAGGATTTCTATCAGCATTCTGGTCTTCTGAGCTCTGACCAGAACCTCCCATCAAGTACAGCCTAAGGCGTTCCAGCTCTACTTTTTCAGCATCTCTGAACCTTTCCAAACTTCTCCTTCCCACAAGCCAGTTCAAAAGGCCAGGTAATGTCACAGTGACAACCCCACTTCTCTGGTACCAAATTCTGTCTTAGCTACTTTCTTTTATTGCTGAGATTAAATACCTGACACCCAGTGTTAAAGGGGAAAAGGTTTATTTAGCTCATGGTCTGTAGAGGTTTCAGTCTATAAAGAGCTGGCTCCAAGGCAGGGTGGGGTGGTGGACAGGTGTCACATGGGACAATTGATGATGGGGAGAAGGCAGCAAAAGCAACACGGGCCTTGACAGCATCTTTCTGCCCCTTTTATCTTATCCCGGCTCCTTAGGGCAGGCAGCACTCACACCCTTAATCCTAGTGCCCTGATCTAGCACTGGACCATGAATCAATCCCAATGTCACACACTCCAGATGCAGCCACCTCTGGAAAAGCCCTGACTGCATGAGGCTCTGGGGGACATCAAGACACAGCTGTGACAGGCCTCTTTAGCGTAATGCAGAGCTAGAACCCGGCCTATCCACATAATAAGTCAGCCTCCACCTCACTGCCGCTGAGACCCAGCTCTCCTGTCCCATCCCTGCAGCTCACCTTTGGTCTTTGGGCCCTTTTTTCTCAGACAGCTGCCCAGCAAGGAGAGAGGCAGCCTGCTGTCATACTTTTAATTGCCTGGAGGTAACATGACCTTTGGACTTCTCAGTTACACAGGCAGGATGAAAGCTGCATATTTTTTTTTTTTAAAGACAGTTTCCGCTAAGTTGATCAGGCTTGCCTCAAATACTTGATTCTCTTGTCTTAGCCTGGGTAGGTAGGACTAGTCAGGCACTAGCATGCCTGGCTTAAAGGTATTCCTTTTACACTGCAGTCTTTCCCCACCTTTAGTGTTTGGTTCACCAGTCCATGTGTGAGGCTGCCCTGCCCTGCCCCTCGGCCAGACTTCCTCATCTCCCGCCCGCTGACCCACCCTGCAGACTGGACTTCCAGCCTCCATGACTGCACAAGCAAATTCCTCATCATCATCATCTCTTTATATACAGACACCTTTCTGGCTTTGTTTCTCTGCTCTTCCAGCCTCCATGACTGCACAAGCAAATTCCTCATCATCATCATCTCTTTATATACAGACACAACCTTTCTGGCTTTGTTTCTCTGGAGAACCCCGACTATTACACTGGCTAAAGGTCAGCCCAGCCCTAGCACGGAGGTGACGAATAGAGGCCCCCCTGGTCATGGTGTCCCACACACTGGGACACCCAGCTCCAGCCCCACTACCACCCAGGGTCCCAGCTCTTACTGGAGCACACCCTCCCCTGCTCTGGGAATACGGCGCGCGGCTGGGCATTCAGGTTCGGCTCAGATTTGCTGGGATTGAAGACCTCAGCATTGTCTTTCCGTTTGGCAGGCAAATTCCTCTCCCGTCTGCGACCTGTGGGAAAGTAACGGTTTATATGTCAGACGAGGAACATAGGCAGTGTGGGGGCATTCGGCATGGCATTTGTTTACTGTTCATTCACTTATTCATTCATCAAATATTTACTGAGCTGTCCTGCACCAGGCACCTTGGTAGCTGGGGCTCACGAGAACAACGCAGACAACCAGACAAGCTTGCTGAGAGCTGCGGTGCACCCTGCACGAGACAGTCTGGAACACACAGGTTTTCAAATGGCCACATTTCTGAGTCGAGAAAAGTGTCACCATGGCCCAGACCTGAGGATGGCACCTGCCAGTGCGTGAAGCTCTGACATCTGGATGGTGTGGAGGGGGCTTGTGAGGGAGGCCCTGCTGCGGGGGCTGCCTTTCTCCTCGAGTCCGTGTTTCCAAAGGGGGCGCCTGGGCCCTGGCAGCACAGGGTGACTCCAGCTGCCAGGTGGCAGACGGTGCCTATGCACTGTTTCGGTGCATGAAGGGTGCTGGGGATGCAGTCCAGGGCCTCACGCGTGCTAGACTTGTGCTCTACACTGAGCATCCGCCTGGCCCTTCCTGCACATCTATGCTGTAATGTGTATGCAAAGAACTGGAGCCAGCAGGGCAAACCCTTGGCTTCATCCTTGCCTAGATCAATCCTGGAATTGTGAAAGAAAAGAAAGAGAAAAGGAGGGGAGGAGTGCTCTAAGTCACAGCTAAAACAATAGGGTCATTTGTAGATGTCATGGTTTGGAAAACGTTCCCCAAAAGGCTCATGCATTCAGAGGTGAGGCTTTCGGAATGTGATTGGATTGAGAGGGCTCTAGCTTTGTCAGTGGATCCATCCAGGGTAGAGATCATACTTTGATGGCATCATTTTGGAGGTGATGGACATGAAAGAAGCAGGTTACAGGGCTGTGACCTCATGCACAATGTCTTGTCCATGGCCCTTCCCCCCGCCCCACTTCCTGGCTGCCATGAGATGAGCAGCTTTGTGGCTTTGTTCAGCCACACACCTCTGCCTTGATGCTTCTGCCCTGACACAGGCCAAAAGCAATACAGCCAGCCAAGAATGGACTGAACCCTCTGAAAGCATGAGCCAAAATAAACCCTTCCTGCTTCAAGTCGTTTTTCCTAGGTATTTTGTCACAGTGATGGGAAGCTGACTAGAATAGTAGAGATGGCAAAACACTGATGGTGTGCAAAACAAGGGTTAAGCGTGGGGCAAGGGGCCCCATAACCTTGGAGCCAGTGAAGGTTTACAGTTAGCGGAAGGACTCATTCCAGACCACTGGGCAGGAAAACAGCTTGTAAGTGGCAAAGTAGGTGATAAAGACCCTTCAAACAAGAAAAACCATTTGGTCCCTGTTGTTGGAGACCACTAGCCTGGAAAAGCAGAAAATCCAGGAAATACAAAAACAAAAACCAGGAAGTGCCCATAAGGGTACCAAGCGCTGTGAGTCCCAGTAGAAGTTTGGGGCGCTCACTGTGAGTGGGCCTCAGGGGAGATGGTGGGGACTTGCAGGTTCTGTCCCACTTTGATAACTTTCCTGTTACCCATTCCCTCTTGACTCTGTGACAGACACACATCTGAAATGGCTGTTCCTTGGCTGTTCTGATACCCAGGGCCTGAAGCAGAACAGCACAGGACAGAGGGCTGACTCTGTCCCATTGTCCTAAGGAATGGCAAGGGGAAAATGAGCCTTGGCTGCTCCCCCAAGTGCTGGGAACACGCTGATGACAATAAGAGCCTCTGCAGGGCCCAGGCCCAGGTCAGGCCCTCAGCACTGACATGTCATCTCATTGGCACACCCAGGTATCCCAGGGCAGGCACACGCTCACGGGAGACAGCAGAATCGTCACCTCTGAAGATGTTCCCGCCCTACTCCCCACACCCTGTATCTTAGGTTAGAGGCAGAGGCAGATGGGAATTAGCATTGTTAGTCATCTGACCTTGGATTATCAGAGTGGACCCAATAGAATCATAAGGGTCCTTAAAAGTGGGTGAGGGACAGAGCTTCAGTTTGGGATGACGGAAAGCTGAAGATGGATAGTGATGGTTGCAGGACAGAGTGAATGCACTTAATGGCACTGGATTATACTAGCAAAAGTGGCTGAATGGTATGGTTCATGTTACCATAGTAACATATGACTACACACATTCACATGGAAAAGGGAGATGAGAGGGGCTCCCAGGGAGCTGTGACCATGGAAGCAGGCACAGAGAGACACAGCATTAGCTGCTAGCTTTGAAGATGAAGGGGCCCTGAGCTACAGAATGTGAGCGGCCCCTGAGAGCTGAGAGAGGCCTGGCACAGGACTTCCCCTGGAGCCTCCCAGAGGAACACAGTCTGTGGACATCTTAATTTTGGCCCGGGGAGACTACCACTGACCTACAGAACTGTGAGGTGATAAATCTGTGTTGTTCTGAGCCGAGTCTGCGGTGATCTTTCACGGCAGCAACAGTGACTGATCCTACACCCTATTACAGACGAGGGCCCCATGGTCAGTCAGCTCGTCCAGATCACTGAGCAGGAAGTGCTGGAGCTGGGATGTGAGCAGGCTGCCTGGCTGAGCGCAGCCCTCGCATACTTTGTTTCCTGGGTCCTGTCCCTCTCCTCTCTACAAGACGGCCTTCCTGCCATCAGCCAGTCTACGTGAAGACAGTCTGCACAGGACGCCCGTGTTGTCAGAAAGTGTGTGCGGGTAATTTCTAGGGCGCCACGGCACTCAGACTCCTGGTAGGGCCTTGGAGCGCGGGTCCTCACGGAGTGTGGCCTGGAATTTCACCGACCTGGATCCTCCTCTCTCCGCTCCAGCCACTCGGCCTCTTCCTGTCCTTCAGCCCCAAGCTCTTCCCTGCCTCAAGTCCTGGTGGGTGCTCATCCCTGCATCCTTGTCATTCCTGTCCCAGTGTTAACTTCGCCCCCTCTGGGGAGGCTCACTGACCACTCCAGCATCAGAGCCCTGGTACAATCTCCAGAGTTTTCGAGACCAGTCTCTCCCCATCCCTGACTCCTGACCATTGGCATGATCCTGGCTTTCCCCTTTCCAGGACTGGTGAAGAACTTCTGCCTCTTAGAGGCCCATGCCCATCTGTCGTCTGTCCCTCGCCCCTGGAGGGAGGACAAGGACTACTTATTGGCTCCTCAAAGTCCAGCGATCGCTTTGTACCTTTGTCTGGCTTATTTACTTGGCGTGGTGGTTAAGAACTCAGACTGTGCTGTCAGACCACTGGACTTCTGATTGCAGCTCTGCCCCTTTCTAACTGTGCTACCTCGTGCAAGTTACTTGACCTACCTGTGCCTCAGTTTCCCTATCTGTAGCACAAGTACAACAACAGTAATTTCCTTGGGGTTGTGGTGAGGATTAAATGAGGGACCCCACGGAAGGCCCTCAGCGGCCTGTTAGGAATTGGAGGTAAGTGGCTGGTGGGCACGTGAAGCTTCACCTGTATTTACAGCCAGTGCCCACCTGTCTATCCCCTCCTGAGCTCCACCTCCTGTAGATGAGCAGCGGCATCAGACTCTCACAGGAGCAGGAACCTACTCTCTGTGCAGGTGAGGGCCCTGAGGTGCTCCTTCCTCCTGAGACGCGAATGAAGTAAGCGTACAATAAATGCAATGTGTGTGAGTCATCCTGATCCCTCCTCCCACCCGTCCATGGAAAAATTGTCAAAAAGGTTGGGGACTACTGGTCTACCTGACAGCGACCTCTGGACTAGCAGAGTGTGCTGCTGGGACGCAGCAGAGGACAGCGCTGCTGCCCGGCAGAGCACCACAGGGCTGGGGAGGAAGACAACTCGGGTGGACAGTGCCATGGTGGCGCTGGGGGCACAGGGGCCGACCTACGTGGCCCTAGTGGGAGCACAGAGAAGGCTCCGTGCAGGAGGTGCCCTGAGCAGGGAAAGGCAGAGCAGGTGTCAGATTCTGGGGCTGCGGGAATCTAGGCGGGCCAGACCCAGAGAACAGAAAGAACATGAGGGCACCTCCAAGGGCAGATGCCATCCGCTCGGGGGACACCTGCCTTGGATGTGGCTTTCCCAGGTCTGCCAGTCAGGGACTTTTTTTTTAGTCAAGTCCCTAGGCACATATAGGCCACTGCGCTCGGAGATGTGGCCTTTAAAGAGGGGGACAAGTTAATGCGGTCACCTGGGGGTGGTGTCCCCCGGAGAATAGGACCCAGACACAGGGTGGGACAAGCGGAAGACAGCCATGGGCAAGCCAAAGAGAGGGACGCGGGGGAAACTGACCCTTGGTCTTGGCCTTGCAGCCTCCAGAACCGTGACACAATTAAGGTTCTGTTGTTAAGCCCCAACCTATGGTACTTTCATTATGGCAACCCTAGCAACCCTGATCTCCTGCCTCGCTTCCAACAGTCCCTCATTTCTCTTTCCTGACATGCAGTCTCTCTTTGCTGGCACACCCAGTGACGTGGTTTACATGCATGGTCCCCCCGGAGCCTCACGTGCTCAGAGCGGGGCTCACAGGGGCGTGACTGGGCAGGGAGGATCTGCCAGGCCCCCTTCTCTGCCCTCTGCCTCCTGGCTGCCACGCACTGAGCAGCTTTTCCTCCTTGTCCCCCCTCCACGCTGATTCTACCCTGGAGCCGGCCAACCATGGGCCAAAACCAGGAGACAAAACTAAACCTCCCTTCCAGCTGTGGGTGCGGTTATTGTGTCCCAATGACAAAAAAGTGACTAAGATACCCAGCTTTGAGGATGGCCTTGGAGTAGAGAGAGAGGAGCAAGCAGAGGCCGAGGAAGCCTGCCACGCTTGAGGTCAAAGTCAGGACTGTTGGAGCGGTGTCCCCGCAGCACAATCCTCTCTCCTTCCTGCCCCACCAATGGCTGTGCAGTGTGGGCAACCAGACAGCTCCTTCTCTTCTTCTCCAGACTCCCCTGTGCCACGCTGTCCATCCTTAGGGTGGAGGCAGCACACCCTGCAGGGCGCGGCCCTCGGAGCCCATCATTAGCTCAGGGAGCACATGACCCGGGTGGGTTCCCTAGTGTGGTCCTGAGAGCCATGTCTGGGACTTCTGTTGGAGCTCTTAGGAAAGACAGATTTATTTCCTGATAGGGTTGCAAAGCTAATCATGTCTCCTTTGAAGGCCACCAGTGCCTCTGTATGGTGGAAACAGTGTAAAGGAAGAGACGGATGAGAGAGAGAGAGAGAGAGAGAGAGAGAGAGAGGGG